TGCCTCGCCTCGGATAATCGGAAAGTAGGCGGGCGAACCGTACTCTACCATTGGTCTAATGATGGAAAGTAGACATGAGTGGCAACCTCTTCAGACCACGTGCCAAAACTACGTTTGAGCGCCCAAAGCATGCGCAGTCCGTTACGATATAGCCTGTTCGTGTTGTCCACGGACCTCGAATCGTAGCGCGAGAGTACACATAGGGCCTTCACGGAGGATGTGGGATATAGCGGTTGGCCGTCAATGGTGCAGGTTCGGCCATTATCACTCTTCCCCAGGCTCATAAATACAGACTTGGCTGGGTTGACCGGGAGAAGAACTTCTGCAGACCATGTGGATAGGCGGTTGAGGTCTTGCTGAAGTAGGCCACAGTCATCTGGAGCGTCGATTTCTCTCCAAATCTTCATGTCGTCCGCAAACAAGGCTTTATCCTTGAAAAGGTCGGACTCATCAGCCACTACAGCGCATTCTTGCCTGAGATGCACCGCCTGTGTGCCCTACTAAACAAGCTACTAAGCAAAGGCCAAACTTGGAACTGCACATCAGAATGCCAGAATACCTTCGAACGGGTCAAGTCATTGCTTTCCTCAAACTTACTTTTGACTCATTTTGATCCCTCCAAAGAGATTGTCCTAGCCACAGATGCCCTAAGCCATCGGATTGACGCTTTAGTTTCATACACGTACTCCGATAGATCTCAGAGAGCAATCGTGCACGCTGCCAGAACACTTAAGTAGGCCGAGAGAAATCACAGCCAGATCGAGAAAGAAGCATTGGCCAAGGTGTACGCGGTCAGGAAATTCCACAAAATGTACGGCCGCCGCTTCAATTTTTCTGGCTATCTTTGGTTCGCAAAAGGACATCCCGGCCTACACAGCCAACCGGCTACAGCGTTGGGCTACCTTAATGGCTTATGATTTTGAGATCCACTACCAGTCGACAATTTCCATCGGCTAAGCGGATGCACTGTCACGCCTAATTGATGCCCATCAGCAAGAACATGAAGACACAGTCGTTGAGATCGCACCTGACGTCAACTATCTGGTGAATGATGCATTGCACCATCTGCCAGTTACCGCAGAAGCTGTACGAACCGAAACACTTCGGGACCCAGTTCTCAATAAAGTCACACAGTACCGCCGGACGAGTTGGTCACGTTCGTGTTTATCTGTCGAGTTGCAACAGTACTACCAGAGGAGACATTCGCTCTCTATTGTGAACGACTGCATACTATTTTCGGAAAGAGTGATCATCCCCAAGGCACTTCAGGAGCGCGTTATTCGACAGTTCCATGCCGAGCATCCTTGTATCAACCGGATGAAGACGCTTACCCGCAGCTAGGTCTACTGGTCTTTCATGGACAAACAGCTAGAAGAACTGGTTAAACGCCGTCAAAACTGCGCCAATGTCTTAAAAGTGCCACAAAAGCCGGAGCTCCGTTCATGGCCAATAGCTACTAGGGGCCGCATCCATGTCGACTTTGCAGGACTGACAACGGCCGAATTTTCCTCATCATAGTCTACTCATACAGCAAGTTGCCTGAAGTATTTCTCATGGGTAGCACAGCCACCAGTGCTACTGTATCAAGACTGCGCCAAATCTTCAGCAGATTCGGCTATCCAGAGACAATTGTAACTGACAACGGCACGCAATTCATTTCCGCAACTATAACGGAGGTCTGCAAGCAAAGCGCTATCCAGCACATTCGCTCACCGCCGTTTCACTCACAGTCGGATGGCCAGGCGGAAATGTTTGTCTATGCGTTCAAACGAGCTCTCCACAAGTCAAAAGGAGAGGGTCGTATGGAGGAGGTGGTTGACCGGTTCATTTTCCTTTACCGATCAACACCGAATCCACAATCGCCGGACGAAGTTTCTCCAGCACAGGCTATGATGAACCGGAAGCTTCGCATGCCTTTCGACTCCGTCCGACCGCGCTCAGAGCCCTCTGTTAGCGCAAGAAACCGCAGGATGAAACAAAATTTAAACCTACTGTTTGGAGCAAAGATCATTTAAACCTGGACAGACAGTGCTGGTATGCGACTATCGGGTAGGCCACGCGAAGTGGACGCCAGGGACGGTCAAAAACATACGCGGAAATGTCATGTACGATGTGATCGTGGGAACACAGATCTGGGCACGGCATGCAAACCAATGACGGCCAACGTTTTGCCAACCAGAGAAAGCAAAGCCTGCGTATCTCACGTTCGACTTATTGGCGGTAGGCTTCAACTTGCCAAAGGAACCCGTGGATGGTTGCTCTCAGTGGGGCAAGGAAACTAGATCAGAAACATCGGAACCCACTTCTCGAGCACTTCAACCCAAGAGATTGACGGACGGGCGAAGAATACCGTCCCGAAAGCTGCAGGTTAATTCCAGGCTTTCGCCATATACTGCGGACGCCATCTCTGGATGGGTATCCGGGAGAATATAAAAATTCCCCGGAAAATCCATTATTTCAGCAATTACTCGCTTGTTACCGATTTCGAAAGTTCTGAAATATTCCAGTATCTGCACGTGACTAGCAACTCCTGAAGATCAGTCAAAACTATGAGGAACAATTAACCTCGACGGTTGATCTTCCTATTCCAGAAGTCGAAGGTCAGTATAAGACTCATAAATAAAGCCAAGGTCCTCTGCATTTGTAGTGTTTACTTGACGGCGGTTAACACATTATTTTGTCAAGGTCATTGGCCTTTGCTTTTTCCTTCGGTTGGTTTAGAATTTTGTGGAGCAGTGAAGTGCTTTTTTCGGAATCGCGTCTAGTGAGAAGATTGTTACACTGGCTGACCCAGTTAGTCGGCTCTTCGACCACGGCAATAACCCTCATGTCCAATCTTTTCAGCTCTTCTCTGCATTCTTCGCACACCGCTACAGGGACCTCTCTTACTGGCAGCGCAACAGACATTGCGTCATCTCTTATTAATAAGCTGACGGTATCTGGAATGTGACCCAACGACGTATCCAAAACAGTACATTACTGTACATAATCATCTTCCCTCTCCAGCGTATGAATAAAACCATCATGATTAATAATGACGAAGCCCATCTTCTGAATATCCTCCACCCCCATGATTGGCGCTGCATCTTGGTCCATAACGAAAATCTTAAGTACATAAGATCTTCCCCTTTTTGAATTGGTGACAGTGTGGCTGGTAATGCATGTGGCAGCAGTGGCAGTACCATTCCACATCTTGTGTTTTGTTTTCGACTGCTGTATCGGAAACGTCAACGTAACCGGCTGGTATGACATTAATATTTGCTTCGTTATCTAGTTGACACCAACTTCTTGTGTCATCCGTGATAACCAGCGAATATCCCTTTCGCTTTCCACTCTCCGTTAAATCCGCTTACTTTCGGATCCTCATATTCTCTCAGCATACCGATCACACGGGATCTACATTGCATTACGAACTGATTTCTCTTTCTACATTTCATGCAAGATTTTTCATAGGCTTGGCATTTCTCCTTCCGCTGAACATGTTTACCTCCATAGAATTGACAATAAACTGCTGGTTTCGTTCTTATACTTAGTCTTGCTGACTTCCGGCACATATCTGGCGCTCAAAGTAGCCGTTCTTCCATCCGCCATCTCTTCGATGTCGCACATATCAATACATTGGGCCAAAGTTATGCCGGGACTTCTGAGCAGTCTCATTGTCAACACTGCATTCTGGATTCCCAGAACCACTCTGTCTCGAATCAGGCTAATAGCAATGCATTTGCAAAAATTACATGATTGGATCATGTGCTTCAATGTGGTCACATATTGATTGACGGATTCTCTCGGCTCTTGATTCTTCTGACAAAAAAACTAGAAACGCTCAAATATTTCATTCGCTTGTCCGAAACAATATTCTTCAACTTTTTTCAGCACTATAACTGGATTTTCCTTCATTTCATCATCAGAAAAGGGAATGCTAGCTAAGATACAACTTCCACCTTCTCCGATAGTGTGGCGAAGCATGACCAACTGGTAGTCCTTGAATGTGCTTCTTAATTTTACCTGCGGGTAGAAATAATCGTACTTTTGTCTCCAGGATCGCTAGTTATCTGCTAACAGACTGCTGTTGCTCCCATCTAGTGGCTCCATATGCGAAATAGTCAGTGGGTTTAGTGTTGGCGCGAACGCTTGATTCATGGGATTTTTCTCCTCTGACACCATGTTGCGTGCCTGGGTCTCCTAGCCTTGTCAAAAGAAAGGAGACACACCGGATTGGCACACAAGCATTCTATGCTCGATTCCGCAGTTCCGGTACAATCATCTGTTTTAAAAACTCACTCGCCCACTCCATCGAACGCACCGAGGCTGACACGCGGCTTGGCCGTCATAACATGTGGCTGTCTGTCCGCGATGCGAACGCGTGTGGGAAACTGACGTTGCTCGCCCTACCGTCCCAACAACATAAAATTGTTTATTTGTTTCCTTCATGTTGTCCTTAGTTAATTAACTTGTGAATGACATTAATTTTACTTGAAACTAATTGATGCCGAATGCTTTCAACGGTCTCTATTTGCTCTTTCACAGAATGGCATCCTTTTTGACAGTCTTCTTACTTATTCTCGTAACCATCTATCGTCTCCTATTCCAGTTTACCTTTTTCAGTAGTTCATCATCTCCATCATATTGGTCTCACCTCTGTGCATTGATGGCGTGTTTCTCATATCCTTTGTTTTAGTTGATTGGCTTTCTCTTTTTTCACTATCGGCTGCGCTACGTCCAATCCATTTTGTATCGATCTATTGAACTTTTGTTTTCCATCCTTACTCATTTTCACTCCTTGTATTACTGTCTTGCAGCATGCCATTTTACCACCTTTTATATTTCAAGTTTCACAGGATGCCTCTTCTGGAAACTTGTTAAATGGCGTTTCATTATTTAGTTAAACTATTGTTTTTCTTTAGTTCATCGCGCAAATCTCTTAGCCAGTTAGCACAACTTCCACATGCCATTTCCACCGTTCACAGTCTGCTGGTGAAGCCTCTCTTCGGAGGCGAATAATGCGCCAAGTAGAATTCTACTTGAGTGAAAGCAACTTGAGACGTGACCACTTTTTTCGTCAGGAAGCAGAGAAAAGACCAGATAATGGGATTCTCATCGACTCACTCCTCAAATGCAACAGACTGCAGCAGATGCAAGCCACACGAGGACTTTTAATACGCGCCTTGAAGAAATCTAGTCTCGTACAGCTTTCCGATGATGGTGAGCTGATATTTACTTATGTTTTTTTCTCAGTTGTCGTTTTCTGTATCACTAAGAGTGCGGATTCTTATACAATCAACGTTGTTGACTAATACCTTTCGCTTTCTTCTCGTTTACAATGTTTCTGACTTGCCTTATTTCATTCTTCAACTTATCCGAATTTGGTGAGAATAGAATCAGTAATAAGCACGCCGTCTTTGGTATGGTCCAATTTTTCACTTCCTTGTCATCATGACATTCGTAAGTCTGAATGCAGAAAAAGCAAAGAACCTTATTGTAGTTGATTATTAGACTCAATACTTCAAATTGTTCGCTGTCTTGGGGTCACAATAGTGTGGGCTAGAGACTGGTTGGAAAAAGTGGGCATACTCCTGGTTTCGCTTTTGATTTTGAAGTGTATTAATGTCCTTACCACGGAGTATACTGCACACTTTGTAAGATCCTGACAGAGAGCTTTGTGCGTGTAACCAGTCAAATGTTCTTTTCCTGGATGTATGAGGTGAGGAGGCGGCTACACAACAGTGAGATTACAAAATACGGTTACGAAGTACAGTCTAAGACGGCTGCTTAAAGTAACCACCTTTCGTGACGTTAGTATGTCCTAGCAAAGACAGTGAAAGCGCATGGCATAGATTGAAGTAGTTTCCTTTTGCTGTTGTGTTACGCAAAGCCGCCAAGCTCAATCAGAGCGGATGATTTATATGGAGATGGATGAGGCCTATTTGGCTTGCATTGTTTTAACTACGCATATTTGATAGTTTAGTTGTACAGTACGCATGTTCGAGGAAAATAAATGAGCTAGAGATGAAGGCGTTTGAGGTTTCGCCAGCTTCAATGCTTGCACGATAGCCACAAGCAACGCGAATGAAAGTGAGTAGGATGTTCTCAGCTGGCGTTTTCTTTCCAGAAAATATTTGTGTATAGATTTGTTCAACATAGTACGGCAAGACATTCGGCACCATTTAAGGAACTAACAGATAAAAGTATGGTGCCTGTCTGGAATATTGCAAATTACAACGTTCTTGGAACTTGTAGGCCTTTCGTGAATTTTGTTGACTGTGATAGGTAAGAAGTTGCCTTCTCTATCCAAATATTCAGTACAGTGAGTTTTCCGCGGATCCAGGAAAAAGTTAGCGTTTTTAACTACCTAATGAACCATTCTACGAATGACATTTTATTGAATCTCTCGATTACCGTGCTGCTAAATGATCATCCCGTTACTGTGTTGTTTTAACTTTAATAGGTAAAGTATTATAACTTTTTTGTAACAACAGAGACCTAGGATGTCATGGTAGCTTACAGTTCAGACTCAAGCTAGGTGACCGGAACATTAGGTTAACATTGGAGAGGCTATTTTGGTACACGCGTTGTTTGGATGGATTGGGACGCGGAATCTCACTCTTGTCCGCGATCCACTTTGTAGTGAACTTGTCAATTCATCAGTCAGCATCTGAAGCCGGATGAAAATGCTGTGTTGCCATTTGTTAGCTCTGCACCCCTCGATTATTGGTACTTACCACTCAGCAGGTAGAGACAGCAAAACTTTAGGATGTCATCCGAAACCGTAACATCTTGAATTAGAAAAATAGTTGTTCTACCTAAAAGGAGAATTTGGACACTATAGTGCAAATGTCTAACACATTCACCTTAGTACTTTCTTGGGTGAATAAGATCAGAGGAAAGTGGCCAACATGGAATCATAACTGTTTTACCGTGGGTAAAAATTGAGGAGCGATTTCATGAATCCGCTGCAGTAGGTGGTACCAACATAGTTACGCTCCTCAGTAGATTAGGCTAAGCAATTTAACAGACTATATAGTAAAATGACCTTTTTGATACTACGTACTAGCAGGAAAACGAGAGTATATGCACCCCATTTGTCTATTTACAGTCTACTTGGTTTTGAAGTCAGCGCAAAGCTGAACGCATGAAACGCTTCCAGATAGGTCACATCTTAACGAGGTTGCAAGGAGTAATCCACTTGTTCTCCATCACGTTGACGTGTGCCGAGTCGCCGTTTGAATAGAGTAAATCGAAAGTAGCGATTGCGACCGTAGCGAGAATCTTGTCGAATAGCCCTTATCGTACTCAGCCGATTAGTCGACCGGTAACAGATTGGTATTATACTCCAGTCTTGTAATCCACAAATCACTCGTTCAAATCTGCGTTAGTCTGGGCGACCTCGCAATATCCCTATCCTGTGGGCGACGCTGTCGGTTGCGTGGCAACGAAGTGGCTGTACGGCATGCCGGTGTATTGGTGATATCCCAGTCTCCCAAATAAGACCACGTAATCGTGCGAGCCAAAAACAAGACCAAATTGTGCTCTATCTTCCGGCACAGTTGGTTCGAAAATTGTCAACCACATTTACGCGGCGATGTGCAACAAGCAGGACTCGTGTAGCTGAGTAGAATGAGAGTCAGCACGCTGATTCCTGATTAAATCCGGAGGCAAAAATGCAGGTAGAGCCGAAGAACATAATTGGTGCGACCTTCACACGACTTTCACGGCCCTGGTTAACTCATCCTTCTCACTCCCTAGGTTTCATTTCTTCTCATTCTAACTTCGCACTTTCGTGTTTTCTCTGGCTTTTGTAGTTTAGTTATAGTTCTTTGTGTTTTCCTTGCCTCTAAGGCGATGCTGTCATCAGATGCTACCCTTTGACCGACCTGGGACCTCCGGAAAAGCGCACCGTCTTAGTTACTGGTCTTCCGCGTTGGTCTCATGAACCAGGGACAGCTGAATGTTTGAACCCCTTGCCCGAACAGGGTATTCAAGAAGCTTGTTCGACTTCGATTCTAGCTCAACCGTCTAATCAACTTTTGAGTCTAATGGATTGGTTGTACGACGTTCTCGGTGAATTTGGTCGCGTATTGCATGTAAACATTCCCAGGTGAGCCCCCGCGTCATTTTCTTGCTTATTTTTCAATTCTCACTGGTGTGTAGCCTACCGTCTTGTTCTCTCTCCCGTCACATCTGCGGGACCGTCGTATCGCGTGCTTAATATTCCGAAAGAATAAAAGAGTATGTCATTCAACATTGTCTGTGTCTAATATGTGCGTTCGCCATAAGACTATCAGTTTCGACAGTGAATTATCCATTACCGCTTCTGTCATATCATTGATACTTTGTTGTTCTGGTGGTCTTTTATGCCTCCCGAAATGTTAACATTCTACTGTGATTGTCGTTTTTTCTTTCTCGGTTTCCCTGTCTAACCGATTCCTTTCATCTGTGCCCTTCTTGATGCCTTTTGTCTTTCGTTTAGTTCTTGATGTTCTACGTGTTGTCTTTCTGTGATCGAGTCTCTATCCATTTTAAGCTATCCATCTGCTTTTACTCCAACAACTCTCTCTACTCTGATCTGCGTTTATCGATACGATCAATCTAACAATCATGTCTTACATCATGATGCTTGTAGACGTTGACAAGCGTGTAACGGCGACAAGTGATGTGAGATTAAAATAACATGAAGTAGGTAGCTGAAAAATAATTGATTCATTGGAAAAAGAGCAGCTATTGGCATTGGTTGCTCGATTGCATGCCCGCACTAACTCATCGACTGCTCCATATCAGCTGGAGCTTACTGCTCAAGCGACGCGTCAGTTACCGATTAGGCCCAACCTTTCGTTAACGTTCTTCCCCTTCTTCTTCGTGACTTAATCAATACACATTGCTAAAGTGGCTGCTCGTCTCTTTTAGTATAGTGTCTCTATCATTAAACGTCCCTGAGGGAGTTGATCCACATTTCCTCTATTACAGCCGCGTATGAGCACCACCTTGTTGCATTCTCTAGATGGAAACCTGATGCTGACACCCATCGCCTAGTGACATGAGACGCTGACGTCGGAAGGTTTTGGGTACATTTCCTAGGCTAGTCTTGGAATGTACACTATTGGCAATTCCCTCAGTATGATGAAGCGGTCGTCTAGTGCCTTTATAGAATGGTGGGGACTGTTTCGTTGAAAGCTAACTGCAAAGAAACATTTGTAAATTGTCATTTTACAGTTCGCTGTGGCTATGCGTCTGATATCAAACGCATGATCATCAGGATAAGGCGGTTTTATTTCTGCTGGTGGTTCCTCTTTTACAGTTAAACTGTATTTTATTTTTGAATACATATAACCGAGGAGGCGTTCGCTCTAGTTTCTAGGGCTTCAGTTTATTCGCACTGTATAAATCCGCAGTACTCTTGACCAAATCTATCGAACTAGTTTGCAATATCCTTATCTCTTTATAGGTACCATTCTTCAAGCATGCTCCGAGGTTTCGCCTTTGTCGAGTTTTCTAATCGAAAGGAAGCAAAAGCAGCGATTAAAAATTTTTTCCCCAACGACGAAACAGAATCATGGTTTGTCTCTCCTAGCCCTTCCGGTGCGTTTCACATCATCACATTTTAACTGCTTACGGCGCAATGCTCCTCATATTTGTTTCGTAAGTATATCTTTACGCACACTATTGTCAGTGTTACCTATCATATCCGCAAATCTTCTGCTGTCCTCTTCTCTAGCCAATAATCTCCTACTTTATATGTTTTGCACCTTGACCAACACCGGTCGATAAAACCCACACATAGTGGTGTTGGTGACACACCGCTTATGCTTCCATCTGCAGCTACGCAAGCTCCGGGGAGATTTCCGCTACTTCCAACTATCACAGACCGCTTACACTTTGGAGGTGACTATATCGAAGTCTCACCACTCCATCCACACAACATGAAACTAGTTGGATGTGAGCAAGAGGTGGTTTCCCATCCACCATGTTCATTTGGACGCCTGCACAGGTTCCCTCAACTCGCTTCACTTGGTGGGTGGGATTTGTGTGATCGTGTTTCGGTTCATGACAAAGCTCAGAGACCACAGATTTTCCATACATCACGAGGCACACGTGTGCTTTACTGGCATCCAATTTGTGCGCGATGTATATCTGTTTGTCACTGTGATACAGCATTCTAGGAAGACCATGTACCAAACGGGCACAACCTGATGGGCGGTATCTTCCATGAACAACGATGGTTTATTTCTGTTCAATAATAGTACTATTATTAATAGTAATAATAACAATAGGTAAGTACTTAATGAGGTGCGGTCCGGTCGGTCGAAGCAGGTTCCATCACATTCTAACTGAGAAATCCATTATGATATCATAAAGATTACAAATATGCTTCTTTTACCACTGATTCTTTCATAATTAACTGCGTTCCCACAAGACGACAACCAGGAAGCGTACAGGCTCTTTCACGCGGAGCATTGCGAAAAGCGAGAAAAACAACTTGCACATAGAAAAAGGTGAAGAAAAAATATGATAGTGGTTTATGGCATTAGTGTTAACAGCAGAGCGCGTGAGAGCATGTAACCGGTAGACTCCTGACTCTGCAACTGTCCACGTTGTGAATCATTTAAGTCAGTTGGAGCGAAAGCCGTGCTTCACACAGGTGGTGAGATGTGATACCAGAGAGAAAATGAAGTTATGTACATAGGTTAAGTGGTTTAATGGGAGAGAGAATCAAAGTCCCAACCTTCCATTGGGGCTGCGTCTTGTAGATAATCGTATGTCTTTTAGCTAGGTGGGTACAGGAGAGGAAATAAATGATCATTGTCGAAAACAGGACTAATTTATCTGATTCACCGATGTACTCATCTTTCCATAAGCTATCGGCGGGTACTTATGCTAAGAATGGTACAAAAGCGGCATAAAAAAGAACCAATGCGAAATATTATTCAACCTAGTTATCAGCAGTACGCCGATACGTAGTACCGACGCTTCGCTGCCGCGCAACCACCACTAGTCGCACGTGGGCTAACGATACTGTGAAACTCACTCGGTCCCCATGCAGGCTCGAACCCGCGCTCTCAGGTTACAAGGCAAGCTTTTGATCCTTGTGGTTACGAGCTGGAAACATATCGTTATGCCCAAGTTATAAGCATATGTATAGCAAAAATCAAAGATAAAACTTGTCCGGTCTGTTGATGTGCTCATTTACCTTCGATAAGCTGTAAATCTGAATAGGAGCAAAGGATGTGAAATTACCAAAATGAATGAAAGATGAACCTAATTTGCCTAACATAAGGGAAAAACTTATGGATGTACAACAAAGTGGCGTACGTCATATCGATGCTTTTTTCCTATATTTAACTATACTTTGTATAGTGAGTTCCGCCAGTGCTTAGATCTTATCTGACCCGTTCTCATACACGTATCTATGCAACTGACGCAAAACAGTTCACTAATACTTTAACAGTTGAATTTTCCTTTCATCGCGTTTTAAATGCCGAGTTGAAGATGCACTACAGAAAGCTTGAGGTAATCTGTTCTAAAACATCGGATGTTTAAGAGCAAAGATGCTGCACCTTGAAGGATGTGAAAACTGGTAGTTTTCTCGCCTAACCTTTGATTCTTATGTTTTACGGCGGTCTTTGAAATGCCAGCTGATAGTAACTGTTGTGTATCTGTCGATGGACAATTTTGTGGAACAGCCATAGGCTAGACTCAGTTTAAGCCTTCAAGACAATAACGGTTTTTTTAACATTTGACATCTATAAGAGAGGATCGGATAGCAATCGTAATAACCACTGTGTTGCTTCAATTGCATACATGTCACATTTTCTAATATTTTGAAACGAATGGCACGGTATTCTAATGGTGGCTTGACGTATGTTTAGCTTCCCTTGTTATAACTAGACGCTTGACCATTTTAATAGGATGGCGTATTTTACACACTGTATACTCAACTTTTTCCCTGAAATTAGATGGACCTGAACGAGAATGTCTACGTTACGGACCGAATCATCATCATAAAATATCAAACCTCCAGTTAAACTTTACATTCATAGCACATGGTGCTCCATTTAGACGTTGAACCTATCATGAAGGATCTGACACACCAGTTCTCCGGAGAGACTATCACTCAGCTTTGCAGATATTTGAAACAAATGCTATGACTCAGTGGCACACAAAATATTTATTACATCGATCAACTGGTATGGTGTTCCGTTGCCTGATTGCAGGAAATGCCGCATTGCATTTTGAAACAGTCCGTTTTCAAGGACGCAATAGCGGCAGTAAATAATCACATCCAATTAACATTCTACTGTTGTCCAAGGAAACTGATATCCACGAAGGCCCATCGGGGAACATGTTAAATGATTATAAATAGTGGACGATGAAGAAGTAAGGGGGCATCAGCAGTACACCAGTACGCAGTACCGACGCTTCGCTGCCGTGAAACCACTACCGGTTACATACGAGCTAAGGATACTGTAAAGGTCGCTCTACTCCTACGCAGGCTCGAACCCGTGCCGTCAAATAACAAGCTTGCCACCTTTAGGCTACGGGCAGTTATAGGGGACGATGGGACGTGGTATTCAAATGCACACAACTGTCCACCCCGAGACGCAGGCTCGTGCAGGAAATTTAAGGACGCAGGCTTATGTGAAACTTGGAAATTTCGCAAACTTGTCCAGCTCCTTGCAGTGGTCTATGATTTCGTCATTGCTGTCCTATATTCTATCGATAATCCTTTTCGGTGCCGTTGTTTTGTCTCCTGTAGTTTTGTTGCCACGTTTAGCCACATCTGTCGGAAGCTGCCCACTTTTTCTTCTTAAAATATTACTGTTGTGGCCTGAACACCATACAACTTTCTCTACTTCTCATTGCGTCCCATTTTTATGCCCCTATCTTGACTTCTTTTGTCTTATCAGTGAATCAACTGATATCTCATCTTCAGTATAAAGACTCATCGTCTGTTTGTATTTTCGCCCACTTATTCTCCCAGCTGGCCCCGTTTCCCACGCAGCATGGACTCCCCGCATGGCTGCTAAGGCTTCATTCCGGCCGGAGGATATGCTTGCGCGACGTTACATCTGGCGTTGTTGTTCACGAAGAAACAAGCAAATCATCAGTGCTTTTCGACATCTGCGGGCCGCTGGGTACCGCGCCCCCAACCCTTGCGATCGAGAATGTGAGTTTTACTTCCAGCAGTTTCCATACCGCACATTTACCTACTCTCGCACGGGTTCCCAATGACGCTCTTACTTTTCCAAGGGTTCACTACCACATCGACTTCTCGCGTGATATGGAGTCTGTCTGTTCTTGTTTCCTACGGCTCCGATTTCACGTCGTTGTCACCTTGAAGCATGGTGTGATATATTTTGTTTTCGACATGTTAAGAAAACTTTCTTGAAATGCAAAATCCAGTGTTTTATAGTCCCGTGATTTCCACTGCTTGCCCCACGACTTTCACTGATATGCTTCCGTGCTGCTTACTTGTTGGCTTTCTTTGTTTTAATTCCATCACTCCAGATTTTTTCTCTTCCCCGAACCCCATCTGTTTAATCTTGATATCATACACTGTGACCTCTCACGTTTGCCAGCTTAATACGAGAAAGTTCATTGAATTACTGACAAATTACTCCTACATCCTGCCTAGTTTTGCCAGTATTTGTCCCACTACGGAATGCTCGGCCGTCTGCTCAGCTGTTCTGCTCCATCAAAAGTTGTGCATTCTGATTTCAGTGGATTGCCCAGTGACGGTAGAGCTATTTAATCCAACAATGTACCTTGCAATTTTGATTGGATAACGCCTCAACTTAATGTGTACTCCCGTCTCACCATTATTCGCAGTCACTCATCAGTATTCGCAGTTCGTTTTCTTCTGCATCTTCTTCCGGCTTACTGTTCAGTCGTATGGTTTGTGGCTTTGTTGCACCTATTTGGTTACTCCAAAATATACACGCCCTAATCGGATGTGGCAGCTGAATTTTCTTCTGTTCGTAGTCAGTTTTTTGTACCCTGGAGCGCGTACCGATATTAAACGTTTGTAATGCATATGCAAAAAGTAGTTGTCATCATTTTCTCACATCCATCCCAGGTAGACACGAATGTGGCTATATGTGATCTGCTTCTGAATGCGAATCTTCTTATTCGACAATGGTGTATTCTTTATTTCTTCCGATAAGTCTATTACTTTGCTTTGGTTTGCATTTTCTGATGAGCATTATTTTCTTTCATTGTATGGGTCTCGCCAATCTTGGCAATGGGGAACCGTCACCCCGATCATAGGTGGTTAGCCGAAACTAACCCAGCATCGTCGCCGCTTCCACACTGAACCCTAACGGTGTGCGTACATTTTCGAGACATCGAGCCATACCGAGTGATGCCAACTAGAGCATTGAAATGTATTCCCACTACCTCTGTCCTTAGTTAGTGTTCGAACGAAGTAAGTCTCTTGAGACTCCAGATTAGGAGTTGAAACTGGTTTGGTACCCAATTCTGTGAAACCGGGTCACTGCCGTCGCGGCCCAATTTTCGAAACAGAGGCTTTGTTTTAGGACCCTAAACTTTGTCTTGCCTAGTTTTGGCCATCCTGCCCGTCTGTGTACGGCTGTGAATTTCTCATCGAACCTTCACCACATCCTAACTTGGCCGTCGAGCGGCTTCGAAGGGCTCGCCTTATCTCCGGTATACAACTTAATGGATATGCGAAATAATGTTGCTGTTAATGCCTCCCGTTTTTTTATTTTTACACCTTGCACCTGGAGAAGACCCTTTTTCTATCTTCTGGAGCACCTTCGCCAAAACAGTTAAGACAAATCGATCGATACTTGTCCACTTTGTGGGTCACCGCCTTTTGAAATCGGCCTCATTACCCAGCATTTCCAATCGTTCGGTAATGCACTCTCGGACAGCGATCTGTTGAACAGATCCGTCTCGACAGGCGTGATGATAACCGAAAAGGACTTCAAAATTAGCGGGTCAAGTCCATTGGGTCCGGCAGCTTTCGTGCCGTCAAGACTGGCGAGTAGAGTGTGGACATCTTCTACATCGTAATCAAGACCCCCGAGTTTAGTAGGGGATGCACACCTCTAACAGATATCGCATTCATGATGCTTCTTCACCGCAGTTGAGCTAAACCAGTTTACATTTAAACGGTTCCTTTAAGCTGGACAAATTTCATTCCACTTTATTTGGTTTGTTCTACCTACCTGAATAATCATCTATTAACTGGCCACCTTGCTTATGCTAATTGCAGTTATCCTTGTTAACTTTATTATGTTTGTACCACGTTTTGAGTAACTTCTGGACATTTTGTACTTATCGCGGGTTCCTTGCTAACCAACATAATTCATATGATAATTTACAGAAGATAATGTCTGCATAGCCGTATTCTTTAACATATATATTTCATTTGGTAATGTCATTTGTAGTGATTGGCTGTTGTGGCTGTGCTTGATGTGCATGTTGACAAGGTGCCTACCTGTATATTACCCACTACCTCTTCCATACTGGCTCTAGGAGACAGTTGGTCGTTGCTGGAGTGGACGGGTGCACGGCCCTTGTGGTCGTGCTAGGCTCGAAGAGTAGTTCCATGCACTCAGTGTGGAGCGGACTAATGTCCAGCCACCTCCTTGTATACGATTGATTCCAAAATGCAGCGTGCTTGTGTTTGCCTGTGAGGGAGTGTGGGCCGGCTCCGTTGATGAAACGTGGCTCCCATCCACATGCCACCCGGGCTTATTCTTTCGGATTTACACTGGATATGGGGTGTGTGGTTGTAGCTGTGGGTGGTGCAGCGTAGGCCACCCATGGTCCCTCTGTAGATGCAGACGTCCTGTTGCTGGCCACAGTGACAGGCAAATCCGAAACCGGATGCCGCTAACCAGTATGTTCCGCTCTATGATTAGTGAAATCAGTTCGCCTACCTTTTCCTAAGGACAGACACAAGGTCCGCTAGGCTTCATTCGGACGGAAGTACTTCGGCGACGAAGATCTGTGGGAGGAAAGTTAGCTCCCGATCACAAAGTGGGCCTCCATTTTTGCAAAGAGCCGGATGGAGTTCATCTGGGGCTGGACTTTGTAACGCTTTAGGATGCGAAAAGCATAAATATATCCAAATACTAGTAAAGTGTCTACACTTCAGAGAGCACTGCGGATTCCTGCGTGGGAAATAATCGGTGTTGCTGGTCCGTTCGAAATGCTCAGCATGACACACAAGCCAGCGTTGCTAACAGCGGATTGGCTCGCCATTGCTTTTTCACTAAACCTTGACCTTTTGCCAACTCGACGTGGCTGCTTACTATGTCTTTATGACCAGGTGCGTCCACCAGACCTCGCGGTCCTCCAGCGAGAGCTGTTTGAGTTCAGCGCTAGTATTCTTGTACATTGAGTGGTAACAAACACCGGCGGGAATTGTTCGAGGAGCTTCAAAAAGATGTTCAGTCCTTGCAGAGATCTAGTGTTCGACAGCACTGTTGGTGAAACTGCAAACCAGGGTCAAAGGTTTGTGCATGCGCTGATACGAATGTGTATCCAATGCACCTTAACACTTGGGTATAAGGTGTTCTTAAGGCTTAAGGCCGACACATCATGAAAGGCACTGCGAACTTTCGGGACAGGAAGTTTATCAACATCAATCCGTTTCCAGCGAAATTGATGTATGCAAGTTAAACATAGCGTGGCCATAACATGCATGAGCGCGTGGTTCCAAGTGAGGTAGGTACTTCATATTCACTCGATATCCCGCATGAGAACTGCCAGCGTTAACTTATGGCAATGTTGTCGATTTGCGTCCATTGCTGGCGAGGTGTTGTGGTTCTCCACGTGATGCGTTGGCCTCAGAATACTTGAGAGTGGTTACACGAGAACAATGGATCGTGTTCGTTGCAGACTTGAAGTAAGCAATCGTTGTTGTCTGTCCTGCTAATACAGTGGCCATTTTCACCACCGAGATCACGTTCGTCAACTCAGGCTACCGAACTGCGCGTCCATGTAAGTCGCTACGATGTCCATGCGGCCAGTGTTTCCAATATAACCCATCGTTAACTGACCCCTTACTCTAGTCTGTGGGAGCATATGCTGCTACAACGAACATCTAGCTGTGCGCATGGACCGTGGTACTAAGACTTCGAATAAAATCGCGGAGAGCCGCTTGTGAACTAGGATCCACTGTAGTAGCGCAGACTTAGCACATGCCCTCAACAGAATCCTCACCGCGGCTTTGGCGGTTGGTTCTTCAGATAAGCGGGATATGACTATGTTAGCGTTACTGGCAGACGGTGACACCACTTTTAGCCCGGTTCTGGAGTCCCGTAGGAGCAAATCTCAGCGGCCATTTAGTTCAGTTGAACAGCTATACTCCAGGCACCGAAGTGCGGTGGATCCACACTCACATCGCAAGAATAACAGTAACTAACAACGGCAAGATAGTTGGGTTAGAGGCAAGTACAATGTAAAGAAAATGGGAGCGCGCTAAACTACTCAGAATAGATCGAAAATTAACAACCAGATGCAGGAGACCGAATGCAGAAATTCCACTCACTGCGTGACTGCGCCATGCCTGATATGGTCTCCAACCATTGATGTGGACAATCTCGAGGCCCCCATTTACGAAAATGACATGCACCAGCCTGACCAAGTATCAGCCAATTTCTTCATGCCTCTATGCCACCTCATTGACTGGCTAGGTCACGGTTTCACCCAACTTTGTGCAGCCACAGCGTATAATGATCGCCAAGCAAGCCGGTCAATGTGCATACAGAGGTAGTGGCCTAACCAACCTTGGTGGCCAATATGCAGCAAACACTCAAGTGAGGCACCAGAAGGCTTCTTGCCAAAAATCAACTGAGCAACCCGGTGTTCCCACCAAATGTGAGCAATACTCCGCAAGCACCGATGGTCAAACACGGCCGAGCGTTTAATGTCTTCGCCGCAACTTGTGTACAATTATGATCCATACGTAAAACTGACCTTACCGCAGCGTTATACACCCTAGCTTTCACTGACAGGCTGATATCCCGCCATCTCCATGGATGGTTGAGTCTCTGGAAAGCCACACGGGCCTTGCTGATACGAGAAATATTTTCCTCAGTAATGTGACCCCAAGTAGTGACACAGCTACTTAGGTCAGTGAATCGATCTACCACTTCTATTGGCTGTTCGGTGATAGCTAGAACCGGTGTGTCA